ACTGTGTGTGTGTGTGCACTGTGTGTGTACTGTGTGTGTGTATACTGTGTGTATACTGTGTGTGTGTACACTGTGTGTGTGTGTACACTGGGTGTGTGTACTGTGTGTGTACACTATGTGTGTACCCTGTGTGTATACTGTGTGTGTACTGTGTGTGTGTACACTGTGTGTGTGTTCTGTGTGTGTACACTGTGCGTGTATACTGTGTGTGTGTACACTGTGTATATACTGTGTATACTGTGTGTGTACTGTGTGTGTGTACACTGTGTGTGTACTGTGTGTGTACACTGTGAGTGTACACTGTGTGTGTATACTGTGTGTGTGCACTGTGTGTGTACTGTGTGTGTGTATACTGTGTGTGTGTGTACACTGTGTGTGTGTGTACACTGTGTGTGTGTACTTTGTGTGTGTGTACACTATGTGTGTACCCTGTGTGTGTGTACTGTGTGTGTGTACACTGTGTGTGCACTGTGTGTGTACACTGTGTGAGTGTACACTGTGTGTGTGTACACTGTGCGTGTGTATACTGTGTGTGTGTACACTGTGTGTGTGCTGTGTGTGTGTACTGTGTGTGTGTGTACACTGTGTGTGTGTGTACACTGTGTGTGTGTATACTGTGTGCGCACTGTGTGTGTACTGTGTGTGTCTATACTGTGTGTGTACACTGTGTCTACTGTGTGTGTGTACACTGTGTGTGTGTGTACACTGTGTGTGTACTGTGTGTGTGTGTGTACACTGTGTGTGTATACTGTGTGTGTACTGTGTGTGTATACTGTGTGTGTGTACACTGTGTGTGTACTGTGTGTGCGTACACTGTGTGTGTGTACACTGTGTACTGTGTGTGTGTACACTGTGTATATACTGTGTGTGTACTGTGTGTGTGTACACTGTGTGTGTGTACACTGTGTGTGTACTTTGTGTGTGTACACTGTGTGTGTACAGTGTGTGTACACTGTGTGTGTGTACTATGTGTATACTGTGTGTGTATATACTGTGTGTGTACACTGTGTGTGTGTACACCGTGTATATACACTGTGTGTGTGTACACTGTGTGTACTGTGTGTGTGTACACTGTGTGTGTGTACACTGTGTGTGTGTACGCTGTGTGTACTGTGTGTATACACTGTGTGTGTGTACACCGTGTATATACACTGTGTGTGTACACTGTGTGTACTGTGTGTGTGTACACTGTGTGTACTGTGTGTATACTGTGTGTATACACTGTGTGTGTGTTGTGTCTACTGCTGCTGCTACTACTGCTGCGTGTTGTGTCTACTGCTGCTGCTACTGCTACGTGTTGTGTCTACTGCTACTGCGTGATGTGTCTACTGCTACGTGTTGAGTCTACTGCTACGTGTTGTGTCTACTGCTACGTGTTGTGTCTACTGCTGCGTGTTGAGTCTACTGCTGCGTGTTGTGTCTACTGCTGCGTGTTGTGTCTACTGCTGCTGCTACTGCTGCGTGTTGTGTCTACTGCTACGTGTTGTGTCTACTGCTGCTGCTACTCCTGCGTGTTGTGTCTACTGCTGCGTGTTGAGTCTACTGCTGCATGTTGTGTCTACTGCTACTGCTGCGTGTTGTGTCTACTGCTACGTGTTGTGTCTACTGCTGCGTGTTGTGTCTACTGCTGCGTGTTGAGTCTACTGCTGCATGTTGTGTCTACTGCTACTGCTACGTGTTGTGTCTACTGCTACGTGTTGTGTCTACTGCTGTGTGTTGTGTCTACTGCTACTACTACGTGTTGTGTCTACTGCTGCATGTTGTGTCTACTGCTACTGCTACGTGTTGTGTCTACTGCTACGTGTTGTGTCTACTGCTGCGTGTTGTGTCTACTGCTGCTGCTGCATGTTGTGTCTACTGCTGCGTGTTGAGTCTACTGCTGCGTGTTGTGTCTACTGCTGCGTGTTGTGTCTACTGCTGCTGCTACTGCTGCGTGTTGTGTCTACTGCTACGTGTTGTGTCTACTGCTGCTGCTACTCCTGCGTGTTGTGTCTACTGCTGCGTGTTGAGTCTACTACTGCATGTTGTGTCTACTGCTACTGCTGCGTGTTGTGTCTACTGCTACGTGTTGTGTCTACTGCTGCGTGTTGTGTCTACTGCTGCGTGTTGAGTCTACTGCTGCATGTTGTGTCTACTGCTACTGCTACGTGTTGTGTCTACTGCTACGTGTTGTGTTTACTGCTGCGTGTTGTGTCTACTGCTACTACTACGTGTTGTGTCTACTGCTGCATGTTGTGTCTACTGCTACTGCTACGTGTTGTGTCTACTGCTACGTGTTGTGTCTACTGCTGCGTGTTGTGTCTACTGCTGCTGCTGCGTGTTGTGTCTACTGCTGCGTGTTGAGTCTACTGCTGCGTGTTGTGTCTACTGCTGCGTGTTGTGTCTACTGCTGCTGCTACTGCTGCGTGTTGTGTCTACTGCTACGTGTTGTGTCTACTGCTGCTGCTACTCCTGCGTGTTGTGTCTACTGCTGCGTGTTGAGTCTACTGCTGCATGTTGTGTCTACTGCTACTGCTGCGTGTTGTGTCTACTGCTACGTGTTGTGTCTACTGCTGCGTGTTGTGTCTACTGCTGCGTGTTGAGTCTACTGCTGCATGTTGTGTCTACTGCTACTGCTACGTGTTGTGTCTACTGCTACGTGTTGTGTCTACTGCTGCGTGTTGTGTCTACTGCTACTACTACGTGTTGTGTCTACTGCTGCATGTTGTGTCTACTGCTACGTGTTGTGTCTACTGCTACGTGTTGTGTCTACTGCTGCGTGTTGTGTCTACTGCTGCTGCTGCGTGTTGTGTCTACTGCTGCGTGTTGAGTCTACTGCTGCGTGTTGTGTCTACTGCTGCGTGTTGTGTCTACTGCTGCTGCTACTGCTGCGTGTTGTGTCTACTGCTACGTGTTGTGTCTAATGCTGCTGCTACTCCTGCGTGTTGTGTCTACTGCTGCGTGTTGAGTCTACTGCTGCATGTTGTGTCTACTGCTACTGCTGCGTGTTGTGTCTACTGCTACGTGTTGTGTCTACTGCTGCGTGTTGTGTCTACTGCTGCGTGTTGAGTCTACTGCTGCATGTTGTGTCTACTGCTACTGCTACGTGTTGTGTCTACTGCTACGTGTTGTGTCTACTGCTGCGTGTTGTGTCTACTGCTACTACTACGTGTTGTGTCTACTGCTGCATGTTGTGTCTACTGCTACTGCTACGTGTTGTGTCTACTGCTACGTGTTGTGTCTACTGCTGCATGTTGTGTCTACTGCTACTGCTACGTGTTGTGTCTACTGCTACGTGTTGTGTCTACTGCTGCGTGTTGTGTCTACTGCTGCTGCTACTGCTGCGTGTTGAGTTTACTCGCCAGGTCTGCTCAACCCCCGGCTGCGGGGGGAGGGGGGGTCACGTGAGGGGGGGGGTCACGTGAGGGTCACACGCGAGGGAGGAGGGGGGTTAAGTTAATTAATAAGTTAATAATTAAATAAATTTGCCAAGACAACTGTTTACAAACTTGACCAGTGCAGCTTGTTTTAAAGTGATACATTTTGACTCGTTTTTTTTTCTCAATGAGGACGTTGATCGTGGGACCATTGTTCTACCGTGCTTTAGGTTTGACCAAAAGGCGATTTCCCGGCTCATAATCCACCAAATGTTTTGCATTGGACACGTATTTAATTTGTTTAACTTGACCGTGCGTGAGCAAGGGGCCTTGTCTGTCAACAACGCAGAGAGCGACACGTAAGTCAGCCCACAGACAGCGATAGGGGCCTTGCCACATAACGCCAGCATTTGTGCCGATGTGCAGAACGCAAGCTTCTTAGACGTATCCACAGCGGTTTCTTCTTCTTCAGGGAAACTCTGATAGGCAGGGTGGGGTGGGGTGGTTTGTTCTAAACATGTTTGGCCTTTTGTTTTATTTTATTTCGTTATATTTTTTTGTTTGGTGAGCGTTTGTTTGTGCCGTACCACCCCAAATAACATCACCGCTAATTTCCCAGGCAGCCCTGCCCACCGAAGGTCACGTGGCTTAGCACGAAGGTCACGTGGCTTAGCACGAAGGTCATGTGGCTTAGCACGAAGGTCACGTGGCTTAGCACGAAGGTCACGTGGCTTAGCACGAAGGTCACGTGGCTTAGCATGCGCGCGCGTTTTAAAATAAAGTTCTGTTAAAATCCTGATGTACGATTTACCTCACGTGCGGTTCCACGTTACAAAACCATTGTGATCCTTATTCTTAGCTCTTTCGGTAAAGTCACGTTGAAGGGAAACAATAAAATAATAAAATATATACAAAACAATAAAAATTATCACGACGTTTCGTCCATAACACAAACGGTCGACATCAGGTGTGAGAATTTTTATAGTTTTATATGTATTTTATTATTTGATTGTTTCCCTTCAACGTGACTTTACCGAAAGAGCTAAGAATATGAATTACTGCAGTCACGAAAGCTTTAAATCAAAACATTGTAATCCTGCTAAAGGCTTGTTTGACGTCTTGTAGTGACGTCTACCGTCAGAACGTCAACTGTGATGTCCCAACTGGGAATTTATCGGTGCCGGTATGAGGCGATCAGACATCTCCCTGCCTGTACTCACAGCTTTACATGTGCTTGTTTGAGAACAACGTTTTATTTTTCCTGGACTCACCTCGGCACATCATCGGTGTATTTTAAACATTGCCGTCACATAATCATTGTGACAATCGTGTTTATTTTCCATCGATTTCACCGCGTTAAATAACTAAGCTCTCAATGCAAGTGGAACGTTATTTTTTTTGTAATATTTTAAATGTCCTCTGTGTTTTTTTGTGTCTTTCAGAAGCAATTGCTCATCTGGAAAAAAAAATAAACATTTAAAGGACCTCGTTGTTGGTGAACATTTTTTTTGTTCAAGTAATTGCTATTACCGCCAGTCACGTGGGAAAATATTGTTTTGCAAGTGCAACGAAAGAGCCAAAGTAATCATCACGACGTGTCGCACGGAACCGTAACTGCCCTTGTTCTCGTGCAATAGCGGCGCGATGTCACACGCAGCGCGGCGATGTCAAGACAGCAAGGAAACGCGGACCTACAACATCAGTGTCGTTGGACTTTCCGGGACCGAGAAGGAGAAGGGAAGCTGTGGAATAGGCAAGTCGTGCCTCAGCAGCAGGTTCTCAAGGCCAAGAGCGGATGACTATCACCACACGGAACACACTTCGATACTGAGCCAAGTTGATTTCGGCGGTCGGGTCATGAATAACGACCACTACCTATACTGGGGCGGGGCAACGCGCACCGCTGACGGGGGACGAGAGTACGTCTTCAACGTCGTCGAACAAACCGAATTTGTTGACGACGCCACTTTCCAGCCACACAGGAGCTCCGACTCCCGGCATTACGTCAAACGCGCGGCCGCCACCAGGCTCGCCTCGGCCGAAAAGCTCATGTACATTTGCACTGACCAACTGGGAGTCGAGCAAGATTTTGAGCAGTATCCAATGCCCGACGGTAAGCTGCACATTGACGGCTTCCTGGCGTGCTTCGATGTAAGCGTTTCCGCGCAGAGAACGCTGCGAGATCAGTTGAGGTTTCTGGAGGAGTTGGTGTCGCAACTTGTGAAATTAAAGAAGCCCATTTTGTTGGTTGCCACAAAGTGTGACGTGTTGGATGAGCAGCACCTGAAGGAACTTCGAGCGTTTGCCTCTGAGAAAAAAGTTCGCCTGCCGATAGTCGAGACGTCAGCAAGTGACAATGTGAATGTGTCGGCAGCATTTCTGACTCTTGCGCAGATGATTGACAAGCCGAAAGGAAAGCCAAAGTTGGTGCCGTTTGAGAAGGCCGCCAAGCAAGTCAAGGAACACCACCAAAGTGCCATTAAGGATTATAATTCTCGGTTGACAAAAATTGTCACAGACTACCGCGTGACCTGGCAGGTGACCGGCAAGCAACTGGATGACTGCCCGGAGTACGTCCAGCTTGTGGACTTGCTGGGTGCTAACAGGGCTGAAAGTTACTTTCGAGAACACATCACGCGTTTGAAGGCTGCACATATCGAAGGAAAGGTGGCACAATACATCAGCTCTCTGCCCGACGCTTTTAACTCAATGAGCCCTGACATCACGGACATTGTATCCCTCAGCTGGGACGAGGCTTTGCTGCTCTTGCGGAAGAAACCAAAGTTTGGATTGTGGTTTGTCGAGCTGTCCGATGGGGTTTGGACCGACAGCGGTCACGTCAACGCCGTCGCCGACGGGCGTGTCCCCGTTGCGTTTTTGCGAGAGTTCGGCCCTTCGCATTTCCAAGCCCACGTGCGGAAATTGTAGGTGCTGAGGAAGAAGGAGGAAATGAAGGGAGCCCTTCGCGACACGTTGGAGAATTCTGGCGAGGTGTTGCCAGGGAGGCCGTGGGATGACGCACGGTCGTTCCTTATCGACGAGGAGGGCTTGCGGACGCCGTGCGGGCGAGGGCGCGTTTTAATCTACCGAGAGTGCCGAGGCAAGATGACGGATGAAGCGAAAGACGAATACCAGGAGCTGCTCCTCGAGCGCTCGGAAACGTTCGCCGGCGTGGACAGAAACGAAGCGTTTGACCGCAACGAGATAGCGGAGATTCACCAGGACCTGGAACGTGACGGTCGCCACGAGACGCTCAAGTGGGCGCCTGCCTTGAGAGATGCGCTGATCCTGAAACACGTGTTCTCTGTTCGTCACCCAACCAGGGAGTCTTGCTTCAGCAAAGATAAGTGCACTGACCTGCAAATTCCGCTGCTTCTCTCAAGTGCTATTCCCAAATTGGTAAGCAAACGTTCGGAATCTTTAATCAATTTTGACAGTGCGGATGCATTTGATGTCATAATATTCGGTAGAGATGGCCTCGCAAGCAAACTTTGCAGCGAAATCAAACAGCAATCGGCCGGAAATGAGTTCACGGTGAATGGGAAGGTTTATGAGTTGGAACTGAAAGCAATGGATGGAGATGTGACGGGCTTTGCAAACATCATGCAGAGTAACGTTTCTCAGCCCAGCGGATGTCTGTGTGCTTTCAACTCATTGAAATCGTTAAATTACATCGTAGACAGCCTAGGAAGAGTGAATTCTTGTGCTTCCTTCATAAAGAAGGATGGCCTCTCGAGCTGCATTCCTGTTGCTTTGATGCTGGCAAATCAGAAGGACGTTACAGACAGAAAGCTGCCTTTGCTACGGCAGCAAGCCCAGCAAGCGGCCGACAAGCTACAAGTCTCTTTTATCGATTGCCCTTCTGAGATGTCATCTCGAAAACAATTCCATGAAACACAGATCAAACGTGCCCTGAGTCAGATCGTGAATGCTTGCCAGAACACGACCCTTCTGCCCGACCCATTCAGCAGCCCAGAGTCTGGCGCGCCCGACGTGAACATCACCATGTGTCTGATGTGTGGAGACCCTTTCGACATTGGCACGGTCCTAACGCCCTTTCTGGAATTCTGCAGCAGTGGGCATCCTGCTGGCAACGACTGCATGAATCTAGAAATGTCTGTGGGAATGCAGAGCAGAAGGATCAAGGTTACCGTCATCTCTTACCACGCAGCAATGCTGAAGCGTGAAGAGCTCACCCATGGCTACGTTTTGGTGTATTCTGCCAAAAGAAAAGCTTCCTTTGCAATGCTTCGAGCATTCCTCTCCGACGTAACAGAGGCCATTCCGGTTCTGCTCGTGGCCATCACTGACAGCTCCGCAGAGTTTCTGGAAAATGCGCTGGCAAGAGAACTTTTCCCCGAGGGCAGCCGTATTGCGAATGAGATCGGAGCCGAGTCCATTGCCGCACCCGCACAGCCGCATTTTCACCGACAGAAGGAATATCTAAAGACGTTTTTCACCAAAGTTTTGGAGACGAAGGCTGTGGTTGAAGACGACTACAAGAGTGGCCGCACTTTGGAATCGCGCAACGAAACGCCGCGGCATGCGTCATTGCCGTCATTGACGTCGCCACCCGAGAGCGACGATGACGAGGGCCAGCCTCGGTACGGCACAACGAGCGATGAAGCTCAGCTTATTCCAAGCACCACGCCCCGTGTAAAATCCACGGGGAATATGAATCCACTCACGTGCGCCAACATAACGAGCCAAGACATCGAGAGGACACGCAAGAAGTCGCTCCCTCCTCCGAAACCCAAACCCGTTATGGAGAGGCCGCAGGTAAACAAATCGGAGCCCAAACTTCTCGAGAAGATAAACGGCAGCGTCCGCAAGGCACCCGTGAGACCTCAGGGCCCTCCGAAAGCTCCCGTGACGTCACCGGCGGACTCGGAGTCAACCGAGCTTCCGCCAGTGCAGGGTGGCGAGATGCGGTCGATGGCGAAGCCGTTTGGTCGTGCCAAACCGGCGGGGCCGAACGGAGACGGTGCCGACGGCGGCGGCCCACTTGAGCGTAGGCCGAGAGTCCGGCGGCAGGCGAGGAGAAACCGCCCGTGCGGGTTCAAGTCCAGGAGAAAGCAGGCGGACCCCGCAGACGCAATCCGGTGGCACGCCGCGCGCCCCTCCGATGCCGGCGACTCCGAGCCGCTTCTGTTGCCCTCGGAGCGCGACCGTCCGGGCCTTGACAACCCCGCCGCGCAGTTCCATGACGAAGTATCCGGCGGCGGCGGCGGCGGGACGAGAAGAGAGAAAGGTGCACAGGACGAGAGGGGAGGCGAGGCCAAAGTGAGTGGTGCGATGTTTTTGTTGCTGCGTCCCTCGTGAGATTTTCTTTCTCCCATCACACGCCATACATTTCAGGGCTCATACCCATGACGTTGTATTTACTTGTGAAAAAAATGTTGCCTTGTCTAGTCACGGCAAATGCGAGGCAGTGTTGTGGTGGGCAGTTTCACAAATTGGACAACTTAAAAATGATTAAATTCATGCGGGGTGTCATTTTCAAGGCGATCAATATACATTTTTGTAAACGTGGTTTAATAATTAATTGATTGAATGATTTGCCGATTCAGTGAAAATGAACGCGCACCACGTGCTCGCCGCGTGACAGCCGCGAGGTCTAGCACGAGGAAGTAACATTATAAGGTGCCGTACCTCTTAACCTTCAACTATTTCGTCATCAGACCTCCCTTTAGAGAATGAATGGATGTGAGGCTACGAGGCAGGGGGAGACGTATTTTGCACTATTTTGCCAGTCGCAGGCGTTCGTCTCGCGGTAATGTTGCACGGTTCCATTCCCAGCACCGCTTCCCAGACTGCGTGCGCGAGGACTCGACCGGCGACGCGTGCGCGTGCGTGCGCACCCTCTCCCATTCCGCCAACCTGCAGTACTGCGAGTTCGCCGACACGGAGGTGATGAAACGCACCACCACCCCCCACCCACCCCCATCCCAACGGAGGCAGGCATTGGCACATATGCAAGACTGAGATCCCCCTTATAGCCACAATAGACGTTTGGGGCAAGCGGTGCTCGCGACCGCCTAATGAAGGCCGGCATGGCATGGCACGTGGGTGGGTGGGCCAGCGACACGCCCGGGCCTCCTTCAATGTCACCCCAAGTGGTGATGTTAACACATTGTAGCGGGCACTTCTTTGAGGCTGAGTCGACTTCAAGACCTCGTCGGATATCCGCCAAGGTTTTTTGCTCCCGAGTGGGAATTGAACTCGGGTCGCCGGGTTCGTGGCAGAGTGCAATAACCCGCTGCGCCAGCAGCTACCCCACATAGGCGCGTACACACTGCGCAAGAGGCGTAACAAGGCAACCTCACGCTTTGTCTAAGGGCAGTGTGATCTGTCTGGTGTTGGCAAATGGAGAAAGCCACAGATCCTGGCGCAGTGATCTTTTGGGTATCGCTGCGGTTTTTCGCTCTTGACTCGCAATGAGAAGGTTGTACATTTATTTAGAACATCGTCCCTTCCAGGCCTGATGACATTAAAACTACGTTATTAAATTATTCCACCTCCATTGTTTACCGAGACAGAGAGCTGCTCAGTGCTGGTTCGAATGGGGGAATTTACGACAACTATTTTTAACAGTGCAATTAACATAACATGTTTTTAAGAGTAATTTTTTTTTATTGTAGATCGCCAACTGAATACATTAAAATATTGTATTAAAGAAATTCTGCTCCGAGTTTCTAGTGCACCACATGGAAAGCGATGTGCCATTTGGAGGCGGTACAGCAAGTAGGTTAACAAGTTTAGCGATTAAGGATTCTCCCCTTGTGTGTCGGGGCTTTCTCCGGGCATTGCGGTTTCCTTTCAAGTGAAAAAAAAAATCATCTCAATTGGCTCAATGTTGAATTTTGATTTAAAGCTTTCGTGACTGCAGTAATTCATATTCTTAGCTCTTTTGGTAAAGTCACGTTGAAGGGAAACAATAAACATCTTGATCTGCACTGGTTCCATCAATAATAACAATAAAATATTGTTTTATATATATTTTATTATTTTATTGTTTCCCTTCGACGTGACTTTACCGAAAGAGCTAACAATATGGCCCAATGTTGTAAGCGGAACCTACTTTAATAAACAACAACGCGATGCTTGCGTCTGAGGCAGTTGACGTGGAAGTTGAATGGTGTGTGTGTGGTATTTGACGATGGCGTGGAACGCCACATGGGCACGGCTGGGATATTGCCACCGACTTCCCAAGCACAGAGACGTACATGAAGAAGAAAGAGGCTTTCGTGGGCGAATGATTTTGAGCTCGCCGCTTAATGCAACGCAGCAATCCCCAAGCACAGCGGCACGGCAGATTCCCCCCACTCCTATTCTCCTGACGACGATTTGCTTGCTCGCGTTGCGATCGAAATGTCGCGATATATTTTTTTACACCGTTGGAAACCTCATTTGCCAGTTACAAAATATGATAATTGTTTTATTTACCCATTTATCTGGCAACAAAACTGACACCTTTTTTTACAAGGAGTCGTGTTTACATTGACCACAATACCTGCGGTCGGAACGCAAACACAAAACAACAACTCTGATAATATATGTGGCACTGTCCTTGAAATTGATTGGTCCACACCCGAGACAGCTTTCTTTAGAGCCTCGTCTCACATGGTGTTGGACCAGAAGATGCCAAAAGGCGCACAACTCAAAGGCAATGCACCATCAGAGTATGAGAGCTCGGGGTAAGCATTTACACAACATTGGAAACCTCATTTTCCAGTAACAAAATATGATAATTGTTTTTTTTACCCTTTGTTGTATATATAGGCGTTATGAAAATTGATGAAAATAATTAAAATTAAATGAAATTTGAGATTTGCATAATTTATCCAAAATTATGTTAATCAGTGTAATTATGCGCATAAATTATGCTGATTCGAGAGATAATCGTATTAATTTATGCGAGTGGGCGTGGTTATGATAATGCAGGTCGTTATGGATTATCAGGTCGAGCCTCGGTGACGAGGATTGTGTTATGAATTGGAATAACACAATTAATCGTATGCAGTGACGCAGGCATTGTGAGCGTGAATGAGAGAGAGTCGATTCGACTCTGCTCTTTAATTCCGTATTATCGATAAGGATACGATTACTCTCGATTGAACATTATGAATTATGTGTGTTATGGATTATGTGTGGTGATAGTGTGCTTATGATAGGTCCCCAGGATTCAGATCTCATACACAGAACAATATTATGCAGAATTTCAGGAAGAATCACACACAAACCTTCTGCTTTGATCAATTTTATTTTCTAGCTAACTTAAATTTTTGGATAATATGAAAACTCAATCTCGGGATGTTGGAATTTCAACACAGCGTTAACATGATACCATCACGATTGCGTTGTTTCACCTCGATAGCGGCACCTGTGGTTAATTCCCGACGCGTAACGCAATCGATCGGTTGTTGAGAGAGAGATTAAAAACAAGCGAACTATTCTATCAAAACCTTAACCTTATAATATGCAAACTCGTATTCTTGAATGATTACACAACACGGCACTCGGTCTTTGATTCGTATCCAATCCTTAACACATTCTGATATGCGAAATTATTATGCTTGAAATCGTCAGCACAGTACCACGGCGATGTTCGTTCATTGAGTGAGGAGGGAGTGTGGGGGAGGGGCATACGAACGACTGCCAGTTTCTGTCCACCGCTGGCTGGAAGAGTCAGCACGACGCTCGCCGTCGTCACGCCGATGGGTGTTGAGTGCGGGGCCGCTTCCCTCTCAGCCCTGGTGACGCGAAGTTGCGCGCTGTAGCACGCTGGTGGCACGGTGTTGGCACGCGCTGGTGCTGGTGCTGGTGGCACGCTGGTGGCGCGCTGTTGGCACGCGCTGGTGCTGGTGCTGATGGCACGCTGGTGGCGCGCGCTCCCTCTCCTTGAAGATGCGCGAACGCGCCCGTGCTGGTTCGCTGATAGCAGTTTCTCTCCACTGCTGGCTGAGCTGCTGCACGCTCTTGCTTGGCGTTGCTGGCCGCGCTCTTTCTCCTTGAAGATGCGCGAACGCGCCCGTGCTGATTCGCTGATAGCAGTTTCCTCTACTGCTGGATGAGCTGCGCCGGTGCGCGCTCTTTCCGCTGCTGTAGTATCTGACACTGCGCTCGCGGGCGACAGGTCAAGTTTTTCTTCTGCTGAGTGAGTTGAGTCGCACGTGCTCTCTCTGTTGAAGTGCGCGAACGTGCCCGTGCTGGTTCGCTGACAGCAGGTTTCCTCCACTGCTGTATGACTAACTTTTGTTGATACATCGCGACTCATGCGATCCTCGCTACTCAGCGAGGCTTGGAGCCAGCCGCTCCATGCGACTGCTCGTCCTGTGGACGTCTTGACTCGCTGATCTGTCTTGACTCTTGACTTAACTTCACTGACTTTTGAAAATGCGGCTGACCGTTATATTCAAAAGACAATTCTCTCTGCGCAGTGGAAAAGGGGGGGGGGGGGGGGGGTCTGTGTGTGTGAGTTCGTGTGTGTGTGTACAGATGGCTCCTGCGATAACGATCTGTTTGTCCTGGCGTGAAATTCCTCTCTCGCGCTCTTCGGGAAAGACAAAGGTGGTCGGGAGTACCTATCTCTTTATACTTTGGACTTTATATTTCTCAAATACAATTTGGTCCCATGTTCGCCAAGACTCGTGTTTGTAACTACGTCCTCCCGACACCCCTCTCGGGTTACCGAGGTTCGCATTGATATGATGGAGTTATTAGAAAGAAAAATAATTTTCATCCTGAGTTTAAGAGGTCCGTTTCCAGATTGTTGGAATCCATATCCCTTGGTTCTGTAAGGTTCTATAATGGAATATCGTTTAAGGCTAACACATTATTAATGTTATATTGCAATTTTCTTTAAAACTTTGTTTGCCTGGTTGCCGTGTGTGGGGTGGGGTGTGTCTCCTCATCAAACCCGGCTGGCTTTTCCAGATGGCCCCTTGTGATAAGGTGTAATTCCTGCTTCTCCGTGCTGTGAGAGAGACAAAGGTGGTCGGGGTTGCTTGGGATATTGTTTAAACTCTTTCGTAAGTTTGCCCGTTCGCCTCATTCCTTCTCGATAACCTTTGATGTGACTCGGTATTTTGTCTCCAAGCTTTGTTTTAACAGTAAAAGTATTCAAGGGGAAAATCATTTGATAGCGAATTAATTATTGGATAATAATTCACTGATGTATCTGGTGGCCTGGTCTTGATTGGAGTGAGCGCGAGGACCGCTAACTTTAGCATATTCTTGTTATTGCATTTTAAATTTGAACCGTTGTTTTAATGACAAAGGAAAAAAATATATATGGTTTAACCCGTGGGCGTCCTCGTTTCTGGCTTGCAGAGGGCTTCCCTCTGCGTGACCTCCCTTAGGGCACATCAAACTCTTGTTCATCTGGAGATCTTCGCAGATAGCTGCTAACATACTCGCCTCGAGAGTTTTATTATTTCTTTATTTTTTAATGGTCTGTTTATGATCGACATCTGGTTTTTCGTGTGCCTGGCTTACAGGTTTTATTGATTATTTTTGTTTGTTTGTTAAAAAAATATATATCGCAAATATTATTGTTAATATCAATTTTGGAAAAGGCTCATATACAACACCTTTTATCTTGCGTTCCGACCGTAGGTATTGTGGTCAATGTAAACATGATTCCTCGTAAAAAAGGTGTCAGTTTTGTTGCCAGATAAAAGGGTAAAAAACCAATTATCATATTTTTTTTGTTCATTTAATTTATGTTATCATTTTATCGTTCTACCAGCGTCAACTTTACCGAAAGACCCGAAGAATATTTGTCTGCACCTCCTCGCTGCCCGCCCCCCCCCCCCCCCTCCCCACAGGAGTTTGTCCGAGCCTACGACACGACCGGCGACCCGGATCGGCTGACCGACGTCGCCGGGGGCGTCGACCCCCCCGGCGCTCGTGAACCAGCGGCTCGTCGCGCTCCGGCCGGCGTGCCGCGGCCCCGATGGCCGCACGCCCGGGGAGCTCGACCCGGGGTGAGAGTTTCGATTTGAAGCTTTCGTGACTGCGAGGATTCATCTTCTTTGGTTCTTTCGGTAAAGTCACCACCACGTAGAATGAGAATAAAATTATAAATTGATAAAATAAAATAACACAATAAAAATTCTCACGACGTTTCGGCCACAACACAAGCGGCCTTCATCAGGTGAAGGGACGAGACTGTCTGGAGGACAGCGCTGGAGCGAACACAGCCACGCTCAGATCGCGACCTTTAAGCTCTTAGAGTCGCGGCATCTCTTCAGAAAGGTGAGAGACTCGATTAGTTGAGCCTCCTTATCCCGGAATCTGTTGAATGATCTTAAGGTTGTGTGGAATCCCTCCCCGTAGAGGCGGTTAAATTTCGATTTAAAGCTTTCGTGACTGCATGGATTCATCTTCTTTGGTTCTTTCGGTAAAATAATACATTGATAAAATAAAATAACACAATAAAAATTCTCACGACGTTTCGGCCATAACACAAGCGGCCTTCATCACCGGGGTGAGAGGTCGCGGCGACGAGCGGAGGTGACCCCCTCCCACCGAGCTTTGAGCCGTTCTCGGTTGGGTTGACGGAACCAGCGCGGGTCAAGATGAAGCTGTTGGGGCTTGGGATAAATAAAGTGGCATCTTGTTGACTTCAAAGCAAGAGGGGCTCTTGGCCAGGATGACGTAGGATGATAGCATTCGCACAAGACTTGATTGATGGAATGGCACCCAAAGGAGAAAACGCTCCCCTTTAGCAGTGACCGTGGAGCCAGATGGAGATGATCTCATGCGCAGGAGCGCAGTTCTGGCATTGCAGGATTATGAAGGATCGGTTAGCCGTGGGAGGGGAGACCATTTAGAACACGGCCGATCGCGACGTATTCGCGTTTTTTCAAATGCAGCTGGTCTTAAATTAATTCAGAGATCGTCACCCCGGCAGAAAGTCAAAAATCTATCTTAAAACAAGGCCACCAAAAGTATCGCGAGCCTCGCGGCTCTCACAGCGTCTTCTTTGGTTCTTTTGGTAAAGTCACCTCGTAGAATGAGAATAAAATAATAAATTAATAAAATAAAATAACACAATAAAATTCTCACGACGTTTCGGCCACAACACAAGTGGCCTTCTTCATGTGAAAGGAACGGACCTGTCGGGACGACAGAGCCTCAACTTCAGCACCATGGATAGCTACGAGCCCCGTTCAGACGGACGAGTTCATAGCTCGTTGCTATCCGTGGTGCTAAAGTTGAGGCTTTGTCAGGTCTGTTCCCTTCACCTGAAGAAGGCCACTTGTGTTGTGGCTGAAACGTCGCGAGAATGTTATTGTTTTATTTTATTATTTTATTATCATTCTACATGGTGACTTTACCGAAAGAACCAAAGAAGATGAATCCTTGCAGTCACGAAAGCTTTAAATCGAAATTCTCACAGCGATTGGTGGGTTTTATCGTTCTCCTCGTTGCAGCTTCGAGTTCGGCCCGGCGGCCGTTTCTCCAGGGAAACCTTTCGCCCGGAGGGCGCCGCCGACGACGCCGCCGCCGCCGCCTCCACGCCTCCTCTGACACGGGCGGTCCACTCGGCGTTGCCCTCGGTGATACCCCCCCGGTCCACGCCGAACTGGGGGAATGCACAGGTGTGAATGCCGATTGTTTTGTTGTTGTCGTTGTTGTAGTTGGTGTGTGCCGCGCCTGTGCCAGTTGTTTTGTTAATTTTCGACTTAAAGCTTTCGTGACTGCAAGGATTCATCTTCTTTGGTTATTTCGGTAAAGTCACCACGTAGAATGAGAATAAAATAATAAATTGATAAAATAAAATAACAATAAAATTCTCACGACGTTTTGGCCACGACACAAGCGGCCTTCATCAGGTGAAGGGACGAGACTGTCTGGAGGACAGCGCTGGAGCGAACACAGCCAAGCTCAGACCGCGACCTTTAAGCTGTGTGAGAAGAAACAGAGCGCCTTGACAAAGGAATTAGCATTGAATTTAGGATTGAAATAGCTGAGTGATTAGCTTGTGACTGGTCACAGAAATGGCTATGTTAAAGTCAAAGCATACACATCCAATGCTAATTCCTTTGTCAAGGCGCTCTGTTTCTTCTCACACAGCTTAAAGGTCGCGGTCTGAGCTTGGCTGTGTTCGCTCCAGCGCTGTCCTCCAGACAGTCTCGTCCCTTCACCTGATGAAGGCCGCTCGTGTTGTGGCCGAAACGTCGTGAGAATTTTATTTTATTTTATCAATTTATTATTTTAATCTCATTCTACGTGGTGACTTTACCGAAAGAACCAAATAAGTTGTTTTGTTAATGTCATTCACGTGTTCACTTTTAACTGCGCCCCCACGTGCCGAGTGCCGCGCACGGTTTCCCACGTCTCACTCGCCTCAGCCAAGTCGCCGGCCGTAAGTCAATTTGGAAGCTTTGTGATGTATCGTTGTGGTTCAACCAAATTGGTCCACAGCTGCAGCAGATTGCATTGCGGCTGGCACGTCTACACAGTTCATCGGGCTCGCGCTGAGCAATGTCTCGTCACGCTCCAAGTGCCATTGGACGCTCTCTGTTACAACATTCTCCTGCGGAGGGAGGGAGCTAGTAGGAACGTGTTGGGTTGCTCGGTCAATGGCCAGGGTCAACAACGGCGGCACCACCACGTGGTGTGTTCAGCACCACGTGGTGTATTCAGCACCACGTGGTGTATTCAGCACAATATGCACGACTGTGAGGGCAGGCACAAGCCGGGGTGAGTAGGTGAAACGTTGAGTTTATAAGGGCACCACGGGGTGACCAGCCCCTCCCCACCCAGCCCCTCCCCACCCTCCCCTCCCCACCCTCCCCTCCCCACCCATCCCCTACCCACCCAGCCCCTCCCCACCCAGCCCCTCCCCACCCAGCCCCTCCCCACCCTCCCCTCCCCACCCAGCCCCACCCCTCCCATTTGTGGATGCACGACGGACTGACACAACAATAATCCCCTGTGGGCTGGTGGTGTAATAACCAGGTTCCTACACAGTATTATTTATGCAGCACTAGAAGACACTTATGTCAAACAAGAAGCATTAGTCCTGATATAACGTGTTAATTTACCGATGATTTCTCTAACCTGTGGATGTTAAAAAATCCTCTTGTGTTGCACACAGTGGCTACATTTTTGAGTCCCGATTCATTCTTCGCAGTGAATCGATCCGTTTTCGAAATGTAGAGGACCGCGATTTGATTCGAAAATAAAGTTTTCGTCTTCTTTCATTTACCTTACTCGTTTGTGTCGTTGCTTTTTCTGCCTCCAATTTACAGTTTTTGTTCACTCGATCAGCCTCAGTGTGACGTGAGCGTGTCGTTGGCGTGCATGAAATAGTTGGTTCTGATACTCGTGTCGCCTTGCATCGGTGAGCGTCTGCAGCTTGCTGCTCTCCTATCTCGGCCCTCTGCTCTCGTGCCCGTGTCCATCACCTGCCACTCATCCACCCTGCACACGTTTTGCCCCCGCGAACTGCAACACCCTCTGGCATCCAGAGTTGGCACTGCATTGGCAACATCCTCTGTGACTTGGCAGCCTGGAGGTAGAACCAATAAGACCATTGGAGCCTCCTTTGCCAGGAGCAAAAATATGATAATTGGTTTTTTTACCCTTTTATCTGGCAACAAAACTGACACCTTTTTGACAAGGAGTCGTGTTTACATTGACCACAATACCTGCGGTCGGAACGCAAACACAAAACAACAACTCTGATAATGTATGTGGCACTGTCCTTGAAATTGATTGGTCCACACCCGAGACAGCTTTCCTTAGAGCCCAGTCTCACATTGGTGTTGGACCTGATGACGTCAAAAGGCACACAACTCAAGGACAATGCACCACCATCAGAGTATGAGAGCTCGGGGTGAAGCATTTACACAACATTGGAAACCTCATTTGCCAGGAGCAAAATATGATCATTGTTTTTTTACCCTTTTATCTGGCAACAAAACTGACACCTTTTTGACAAGGAGTCGTGTTTGTATTGTTATCGAGAACCAATGGACTTGAGCTCCCCCCACTCGCACTCCATGTGGACAGATTGATATGACCCCCAGCTGACTTAAATTTTACAGGGGAAAAGTACGTATTATTATAGTCTATGACAATAAAAGATACATTTGACTCGTAAATAATATCCGCAGTACATAAAATATAAAATGTACTAAGGGGTTTATTCTGAGCTCTTTCGGTAAAGTCACGTTGAAGGGAAACAATAAAATATATATAAGACAATAAAAATTCTTCATGATAAAGGTTTTTGGGTTAGGTCGACCTAACCCAAAAACCTTTGTTATGAATAATATTGGTCGCGAAAGCCTACGTGTTAAATAAAAATTATCACGACGTTTCGACCATAACACAAACGGTCATCATCAGGTGTGAGAATTTTTATTGTTTTATATATATTTTATTATTTTATTGTTTCCCTTCAACGTAACTTTACCGAAAGAGCTCAGAATATACCCCTTAGTACATTTTATATTTTATGTACTGCGGATATTATAAAGCAATAAAAATTCTCATGACGTTTCGACTGTAACACCATAACACACCTGATGATGACCGTTTGTGTTATGGTCGAAACGTGAGAATTTTTATTGTTTTATATATATTTTATTGTTTCCCTTCAACGTGACTTTACCGAAAGAGCTAAGAATATGAATCACTGCAGTCACGAAAGCTTTAAATCAAAGTACTAAGGGGTAACGCGAGTTAACCCCTGGCCTACAGCACCTCCACGTAATCGACGCAGACTCTGGACCACCATCTGCAGCGTGGAAATCCCCACCTACCGACCCACATTGCAAATGGCGGCGTTGCTTATGCTCGCGATAATTTGCACGATTCTATATTCAAAACTTCACACTTTACGCTTCTACAAAAGCCCGCTTGGATTACCCCCGTCGAGACGCGAGCGGCTTGCTGAGGAACGGAGAGAGGTAAGTGAAGCGCGTGGCGTGTGAACGGGCACCTCCCAGGAACTTGTGAAGGCGCCCGAGGGG